TTCTTTCAGTCATGCAGCTGAAAGTGTCTTGCCATGATCATTTTTGGGCACCACCAAGACATTCTACGGCCCAAGATTTCACGACATTTTGTTGCCATTCACTGCCAATCACTTCCTAACTCGGAACAGCTGCCTGGCTGCTAGCTAACAAAGCCGTTGACATCCTGCAGCACTCTGCAGCTGAAAAACATCGGGGGCAGCGCTGGAGTGGTTGCTGAAGAGAGATCTTTCACTGAATCTTGGGGTTTACATTCAATTTGTTTTCGTTTTGTTGCATGATGTTGCATATTTGATTAGAAGATGTCATCAATTGTGTTTTGTCTCTTCCCTTGAGGGCAAAACAAACGGAAGACGATGTAAGCATGCATCCAAACAATCAGATGCAACATTGTGCCCTCTTATCACTGGGCCTTTGTCTAGACTCCTGGAGCCTGGAGATGGCGATGGAGAGAGAGAAAGAGAGAGAGAGAGAGTGTGTGTGTGTGGGTGTGTTTGTGCCCCTATGCAGATGGTAGCATTCAAGAAATAGAATTTCAACAAGCAAGGTAGCCGAGCGATAGGAGGTGGATTGCTCTGATGGACTAATCTTAGCCTGTAGCAGGTGGATGAAGTGGCAAAACTGTGGCACTGTACTCTTGCACGATCCGCACATTTTCTGAACCTGTAGTGTGGGCAGGCGAAAGGTTTTGTTCCTCCGTGATCTTTTTGTGGAAAGCTGTGCGGTCACTCATGAATTTGATGCTGCAGCTGATGAGGTTCAGACTGTTTTGCATGTTTTGCCGCGACGGATGTTTGGCTTTGGCCTGTGTTTTGGGCAAGGGGTTAGAAATGAGAACAACGGACAGATAGAAGCACTGGAAGCGAGCTGGTGAGATGTCGGCCATGAAGGTAATGATTTCTACTAACCCTAGCGTTAAGTCGTATCAGCTCGTAAAAGTCGTATCGGGAGGCCGTGCGCCTGGAAAAAGTTCATTTTTTTTTTATTGCGTTGATTTTTTAAAATATATTTGATCATTCTTTCAAGGGGGCAAACGCTGGTTGCTGCTTGCCTGCTGCTTGCCTGCTGCTTGCCCGCTGCTTGCCTGCTGCTTGCCTGCTGCTTCCCTGCTGCTTGCTGCTGCTTGCTGCTGCTTACCTGTTGCTGCTCACCTGCTGCTTGCCTGCTGCTCACCTACTGCTTGCCTGTTGTACATGTAAAAAACATCAGATGTTGCAGAGGTGCACCGGGACATCATGACACTTTGACAAGCCATGACCAGCCTTATGTCTACTTTGCCTTGTAGCTGTTTGGGCTCAAATTTCGCCGACGCCCTTCACAGCAACTTGCAACCCACAGTCCCAGCCATGCAATCTGATGCTTGTCAGAGACAGGAAGCACTGAATCGAGAGATTTTCTTATCATATCTTATCATAGACACGTGAAACGACAGAAAAAGGATGTCAACTGTGAAAGGTGATTGTAGATGTGTGTGTGTGCAGACATACACTTGAAATTACATATGCATATGCATATACATATACAAACATAGATACATAGATACATACATAGATACATAGATACATAGATACATACATAGATACATAGATACATACATACATCCATACATCCATACATCCATACATACATACATACATACATAATCATGCATGCAAGCATGCATGCATGCATACTCATACATACATACTCATACATACATACTCATACATACATAATCATACATACATACTCATACATACATACTCATACATACATACTCATATATACATACTCATACATACATACTCATACATACATACTCCTACATACATATTCATACATACATACTCCTACATACATACTCATACATACCTACTCATACACACATACTCATACATACATACTCATACATACATACTCATACATACATACTCCTACATTTTCATACATACTCATACATATTGTACGTACTCATACATATACATACTCATACATACTCATACATCCTCATACACACTGGGACATGCTCATACATGCTCATGCATGCCCACATACATACACACATACATACTCACATACATACTCACACACATACTCACATACATACTCACATACATACTCACATAACATACTCAATCATACTCACATACATACTCTCATATATACTCTGATACATACTCACATACATACTCACATACATACTCACATCCATACTCACATCCATACTCACATCCATACTCACATCCATACTCACACATACTCACATACATACTCACATACATACTCACATACATACTCACATACATACTCATGCATACTCATGCATACTCATGCATACTCATGCATACTCATGCATACATGCATACATGCATACATGCATGTATGCAGCATACTCATGCATACATGCATACATGCATATACATGCATGTATGCAGCATCCATATACATCCATATCCATCCATCCATCCATACATACATGCATGCATACGCATTCATACGCATACATGTACATACGTACATACGTACATACGTACATACGTACATACGTACATACGTACATACGTACATACGTACATACGTACATACGTACATGCATACATGCATACATGCATACATGCATACATGCATACATGCATACATGCATACATGCATACATGCATACATACATACACACAGACACACAGACAGACAGACAGACATACAGACATACAGACAGACAGACAGACAGACAGACAGACATGCACACACATACACACATACACACATACACACATACACACACACACACATACACACATACACACATACATAATGATCGAAGGAAGTTTAGAAGTCAAACTTCAGACAACATGGACAGATGAAAAAGCAGAGGTGGGAAGAGTCAGAGAAGAGAAGAGGAGAAGAAGAGAGAAGATCAGAGAAGAGAAAGAGTCAGAAGAAAGAAGATGCAGGTGCGGGAAAAGGTAGAAAAGTCGCCACTCACTGTGTTTTTCCAATGATTTGTGAGGGTCGAAAAGTAGGCTCGCTAAAGCGGCAGGTGCGGAGCCATCTGGGGAGATGAGAGATGAAAAATTGCAGTTGAAGCGCGTTTCGAAGTCAAAAGTGTTAAAAATTGACGGGCTCGGAGCACTTTTGGAAGTTGAGATATTGAAAAAGTGCACGCCTTTGTGGCGCGAAGCACGTTTCCAAGTCAAAATGTGCAAAACAAACCACGTTCAGACGTTCAGAGCACTTTTGGAAGTTGAGATGTTCAAAAAGTGTACGCCGTTGTGGCGCGAAGCACATTTGGAAGTGAAAAGGCTAAAAGCACCTCACGTTCGGAGCACTTTTGGAAGTTGCGATGTCGAAAAAGTGCCCGCCGTTGTGGCACGAAGCACATTTCCAGGTCAAAACGTTAAAAACACTACACGTTAGGACCACTTTTGGACGTGGAAGCGTCGTTTTGTGTGGCAGGCGCAAGGGATTTTGCTTCCTGCCAAAAGTGAGCAAAACGTGAGGGTTTGGTAGCATATCCAAAACGATGGCAGGCATGGGACATTTGAAGAGGATCTGCAAAGATGGATTTTGAGTGGCAGGCGCAGTACAAGAGACATGTCCATCAGAGATGTTTACGAAGGGTTGCATTTTGGAGCATCAGATCTTCAGGTTTGCTAAGATGATTTTGCGTGACAGGCGCGGCACTTCGTATGACCTGGCTTCACTTTTTCGTGGCAGGCGCGGTACTTTAAACAGATGGAAAGGAAAAATCGTAAGGCGCATTGGCACGAGGCCGTCAGCTCTGCCCTCTACTTTCCATTTTTGAAGGAACTCTCGCAGAATTGTTTCGTTTTTGATGTTGTCAAGTTCAAAAAATGAGGAAGTCTCGCAGAATAGCTTCGATTTTGACATTGTCAAGTTCAAACATTGAGGAAGTCTCGCAGAATTGCTGCGCTTTGATGTTGTCAAGTTCAAAAATTGAGGAAGTCTCGCAGAATAGCTTCGTTTTCAAACTTGTAGATAGACAGATAGACAAATAGATAGATAGATGGATAAATAGATAGACAGACAGATAGATAGATAGATAGATAGACAACTGACTACAACTACAACTACAGCTACAACTGCAACTAAACTACGCTACCGCTACCATCACAACTACAAATACAAACATATTACGCTACAGTACGCTATTTACACTACACTACACCAACTACACTACACTCGCCAATTACACTACACTACGCCAAGTACACTACACTAACACTACGCTACACTAATTGCACTAGACTACACTAATTACACGGCAACTATGACCACAACAACAACTACTATTATTACTACTACAGCTACAGCTACAACTTCACTACATTACACTATTACACTACGCTAGACTACATTACACTAGGCTACACCACAGCACGCAACGCTACAGCACACTACACTGCACTACATTACATTAAACTACACCACACCACACCACAACTACAACTGCAACTGCGCTACACTAATACGCTACAACTACAACTACAGCTGCGCTACACCACACTACATCCAGCAGTTGCGGGTGAGGTGACCAATGCAACCATTGCGACCATTCCAAAAAACACAACTCCAAACACCTTTCGGCCCATTAGTGGATTCGCTCTGCCATCCACGCATCGCGACAACTCACCTCTCCTATAGCGTCCTATCTTTGAAACTTCCGCTTGTGCGGCACTACTGATACATAATCACACATAATCGCACATAATCACACATAATCATACATAATCATAGATAATCATACATAAACATACATACGTACGTACGTACATACATACATGCATAAATACATACATACAAACAGACAGAAAGAACAGGCAGACAGACAGAGACAGACGGACATGCATGCATGCATGCATGCATGCATGCATGCATGCATACACACACATAAAGAACATACAATAACATACATACATACATACATAAATTACATTACATTACGTTACATTACATTACATTACATTACATTACATACATACATACATACATACTTACTTACATACATTACATACATTACATACATTACATACATTACATACATTACATACATTACATACATTACATACATTACATACATACATACATACATACATACATACATACATACATACATACATACATACACACATAAAAAACATACAATAACATACAATAACATACATACATACATACATACAGACAGACAGACAGACAGACAGACAGACAGCCATGCATGCATGCATACACACATACAAACATACATACATACATACATACATACATACAGGCAGGCAGGCAGGCAGGCATGCATGCATGCATGCATGCATGCACACATACATACACACACATACCTACCTACCTACCTACAAACATACATACATACATAACTCATACATACATACATACATGCATACATCCATCCATCCATCCATCCATCCATCCATACATACATACATACATACATACATACTCACACACACATGCAGCACACACACACATATATATATATATTTACACACATAGGGAGAGAGAGAGGCGTGTAGATATAGAATAGATGTAAACACATATGCAAATGTATTTACAATAGAAGATATGCATGAAAGTTTGCGAAAGATGACACCACAAGTGCGGTTGCCTTGTCCGTTCGCTTTCGACGCTGAGGAGGCGTCCACTGGCACTGACTCTGGGGACGAAGCATCCTTGAAGGCCTGTACATGCATGCATGCATACCGTCATACAGACATATAGGCTGGATCACAAGACATGGGATTGTACCCACCCGGAACTGATGAAATGAACGCAGCTTGCTGCTTGAATAATTCAAGGTAAGTGTATGTAAGTGTTATAAATGAAATTTTCAAGAGGAGCAAAAGAGCTCGCAATTTCTCCAAGGCATCCAGACATCAGCGCAAACCCGTTGCTACGCATTGCAGTCCCAGGCGCTGCTGCAGAAGGAGCGCCAGCTGTCCAAGCAAAAGGACGCTGGGGACATAGCCTCCAAGGGCTTCACAGTGTGTGGTTATGAAATATAACAAATTGCAACAATGAATGGACAATGAACGGATCATGAATGGATAATGAAATGATAGTGAATGGCAATGGATAGTGAATTGGGATTCAGAATGTGGACTAAGTCAAAAAATATGTTCAAAAACAGAAGGCTTCCCCGCACCGGGGGGTTTCCGTTGTATTGGGCACGCTGGTGCTCAAACAGTTTTTTTCTGTGATATTCAGTCGCAATTCTGCCATTTCTTTTGTTTGTGCACAGGTCAGTTCCATATCCATATCCAAAACATGGCATGAACTCCGCATATAAGATCTCACGAGTCCTGTGGCCGGAAATTGTGTCATGGGGGAGCCAAGGCGCAAATTCAAAAATTGGAGGCGCGAGTGAAAGACTTGGCCGCTTGGCGTCAATTTTTTTGGGGTGGGGTCTCCAGTCTACCAAAAGCCAAACACTGCTACAGCTATTCAAATCTAAAACTTTCAGGAGGAGTCTCGTGGTAAGATTCTGCTTGCTACCAGCTACTGTAGTCGTGTCAGCATGCGTCACACAAGGGCTGAGGATGGTCTCTTGATGCCCCTGACTTACCGCACTTTCCTGATGATATCATGTCATTCATGTCACCTGACCCCAGACAGAAGAGGCGACATATGGCGACATGAAAAGAGATCTCAGCCCAGGAAGCTGACCTTGAAAAAGCGCAGCTGAAGGTGGCTGTGAAGGCTGTGCAGTTGTCGTCCTTGAATATTGGGACGATTTGGGACGTTAGCCCATCATTTGCATTCGGTCGGCCTTTGCTTCCTGGTTCCTTTGCAAGAAGTCAGAGAGATCATGTAAAAGACCGGCTTCTGGCTTTGCGTGGTGGCTGGGAAGGTTGGTACCTAATGGGGTATTGCCGTCCGATTTCTTCACATGTTTCTTCTTGTTTGAGGCCCCAGATGGCCCCAGGGCTAGTGCAGGTACAGCCAAAGTTTTGATTTGTAAGGTTGACATTATATTGTATTGATCAGCCGCCCTAAAAATTCAAACATATAACATATCAGACAAGTGTAAAGTTGAGGCCAGGCAAACTTCTTGGGACCCCAGGCATGGAGTGAGGAAAAGTTTTCTTGCTAATGGATAAATGTAGTCATGTTGTTCTTGAATTTCAAATGATTCTAAGTTGACTTCGACTTGGTCTGTTTTGATTGAGTTTGCACTAAATTTCATTTTTCATTGATTTAAGTTGAAGGGACCTGCTTGGATTTGACTTCAATTTGACTTCAACATGGATTTAAATTTACTTAAACAAGGGAATTAGTATTAGATAATGGACTGTGAACACTTCCGCTTGAAATTGAAATCGAATCTAAACTATAGGGACTGTTGGGAAGGCCCAAAAAAAAGGGGTTTCTATTCCGGGGGTTAAACAATGCACTTCATTCAGGTTCCCGATTGTTTCTAGGCACACCCTTTGCGAGCTTGTCGGGAAGCTTTCTTGAATCAAGACGCAATAAAGAAAATGCAACTTCAGGACCTGGATATTTATGAAGGTCAGATTCAAAAGAGGGGAAGTATATAATCAAGAGAAAACAGGGTATCCAAAATGCTGGCGCACTTTATTGTCGTGGTGATTGATTAATCTGTCCCGGGATTTGGCTGACTTTCTTTGAACCTGATGTGAACATTACATGGTAAGATATCGCAAGGACGTTCACCCGTGCAGGAGCGCCAGGATGGTGAAGTGGACCTGGACTTAGGGACTTAAAAGATGGGAAACGTGGGTGAGCGAGCAAGAACCGATGCCCTGGGAGCTAATTTTCCTTTTCCTTTGTTAAACAAGTTTGAAAGTTTTGATCCTTTGTCAGACCTGGAGTGTTTCCAATGTCCTACACGGTGCCTATGAAAGATGCCGACTCCCTATTCTTCCAACATTGCCAGCTTTGTAACTAGGCGCGAGCTCAACAAGAGCTATTGGATGAGCTGAAGAAGCGCAAAGCCGTCCAATACGAGTGACTCACCTAGTGAAAGGGTACGAATGGTGGAGGTGATGTGAGTGCAGTTCATGGATGTGAGAGACAGAGGGCTTAGCAGTGAAGATGGAACATGCATCAAATTGTGAGTGCACGAGACAACATGCGATATACCTTAGAAGCACCTGGCAGGACATTTTGTTGCTGAGGCTGATTAGCAGCAGCCAACAACTGCTGGAACTGCGGGACAAGGTCTACCAGCAGGAGCGAGGTTGTGGTGGATGATAGGACCGGGTAGGAACAAATAGTTACTTGTTGGATGGAAGGGGGCCCCACTTGCGAGGGGTTACACGGGTTACACGTCAGGCGGGCCTTGCTTCAGGAGAAAAAGCTGCAAACATTGGGTCGCTTAGTTGGCAACGTTAGATGCAGACGGTTGGCTCTCATCGTTCACCGCTGACATGAAGGAGAGAAGCAAAGCAAGCTTCCTGTACACTTACTTTCTTTAAACAAAAATGAATGTTTGTTGAATGCTCCCCCCTTTCTCAGGCAGTTTGCAAAGCGATCACTTCAAAGTTGTTCAACCCTTTGTGCTGTCAAGATGTGACTAGTGACTACTTCCTCAATTGGTGCAGCAATCATCATTAGCCTGCGTTCTTTTTCTTTTTTTGCGACGCTTGCGTTTGAATGCTCCGATCTTCGCAACTTCAGGCGTGAGGCATCTTAGCCGCAATTTTGCCGAGGGCTTGACTATATATGCACAACACATGCAAAGTTGCATGTTGCCTAGACCGGGGGAGAAGATTCTGTGGCTTCGTGGCCAGTACCAGCCTTCTACTGTACAAGTCTCATGCACGTCGGAGCGGTCTGACCGTAGACCGTCGCGACTCAAGCTCCACAATTACTGTATGAGGTGAGAAAGAACAATCTTTCACGTGTTTTTTGTGATCTTGGTCTCCGGTTATAAGGTTTCTCCTTATTTTGATTCCCTAGCCGTAGCCTATTGTCCCAGCTTCACTTAGATACTGATCTACGCAGGTCCAGTTTTGCAGTTCCTGTTGCTGTTATCCACACTGCAATCGTGAATCGTGCCCCTGCTTTTTAATAACAGAGCTATTGTAAGAGTGACTCACAATGAAATTCAGGAAAGGCCTATTCAGGGCAGTAGATAGAACGGCCCACCAACCCCTACGACGTGGAGTTTTCAATATTTGGCCAGGTCTCCAACACTTGGAAAGAGGGCGTCGCTTGGCCTGATCAAGGAGGAAACCATTTTAAGTGAAGCTAGATGGTTGTTGTTCACTTAAGCTGACAGCATGGCACATGTTGAGAAAAAGTCACACATTTTTTGCTTGCGCTGCCTTTTGATGAGTTCATGTGTGAATTCCTGCAGGGTGGTTGTGAACCTTCTGATCCGCATGATCCCGTCATCTAAGGGTCAGCGAGGGAGACAGCTATGAAAAGGCCAGGGGGATGGGTGGCTGCCATGTCCAGCAGCTTTTTTGGCACCTGAAGTCAGTGTGAAATCGCTCATAGTGATCCACAGTAAAGCTCACGACTTGTTCTATGCCCTTTACAGAACACAAGCAGAAAGCCACACCAAGCTGCACTCAGATGGAGCGTCCAGGATTTTCTGGCTTGACCAGGAGCATCCAGGCATTATGTTCACCGTACACGACCATATCACCATGTAATGTTGTGTGTCATCTGCTCAATAGTGGTTCAACTCACAGCTGGTCCTTGGGCCACAGGGGCCGAATGGCCTCAAACAGGCCCTTGTTCGGTGCGTTCAGCCGGTTCAGCCGGTTCAGCCGGTTCAGCCGGTTCAGCCGGTTCAGCTTCAGATAGCTTCAGGGACTGTTTGGTTTTGGATGGTTTTAGCGCTCGGGCAGCCCTTCGAGTTTGTTCGCCATGCTGCAAGAGGTCCCCAAGCATTGGGCAAGAGGCACTTTCTTTGAACCCGGAAGTTTGCCCATAGATGGATGGAGGGCTACAGGATCTGACTCGGCTTGATGAAGCGATCTCTCGGAGTGCCAAGGGATCACTTTGCCAGAAACAGATGCTCCTTGTTAGTTGTCCCCTGTTCGGATGGTTGGAAGCTTGGTTGGACACGATTCGTGCGTTCCTGTTGTGCTTTGTCCTATGCAGTCACGAGTCCTGGATAGGAAAGGTCTTCTTTGCCAAATATATGATCTTTGTATATATATATATATAAATATATATAATATTATATAATTATATATTTATATATACATGTGTACAATACATCTTGTGCCACTTGGTGTGATGACTTGGGGCCGCATGCCTTTACCATGGGATGCGCAGGGGCTTCCAAGGTCACGAACAAGCTTGACCGCTAGGATAGCTGGGTTGCCATGATGGCATTAAACTGTAAATACTTTATATAGGGATTTATAGGGTGGTTCTAATCCTTCAGTTTTTTTGGCTTGGCGTTTTGAAAGCTTTGCATAATTCAGGGCTGCAAAGGGTTCAGGCAAAGGAATCAACGTTCAGAGACTGGCCAGGCCAGTTGATGACGTATGCAACATATGCAACCGTGCTGCCATTTGGCAGCCTTTCATGCTGGCCTACTCTCACTCAAGAGCGGGCATGGAATACAACCGTATGCAACTGTCCCTTTCAGTTTCATGAACACCAACGATGCTGTTCTTCAGTGAAATTGCATCGCGTGAAACTGCAGCTAACAGAGTTAGAAGATGTTAGAAGCAAGATTTAAATATTTAAGATGTAAAAAGAAACATGTTGTTTACAACCCGACACGGCAGGTGCAACAAGCCTTTGCCAGGCTCACCATCTGCAGTGCAGGTGTTAGTTAGCAAATGTTAACGACCTATTTTCAGAGGAGATAGCTTGTAGGCAAGTGCATGTAGGCGCTTCCAGTATGATTTTGCCTCATAGATGATATGGATGTGTGTTTGCCTGATAACTCACGGACATCGTTTGCTGTTTCAGCTGCTTTTTTGGCCGCTACTTGAAGGCAGCAATCTGACAGCGCAACACTGCAAAAGCAGGCCCTTGGTGAAGGGATCCAGTGTCTTGAGTGGAGATGATGTTCTGGGAGGTCATGGAACGCAAATGGCCAGAGCTAGGTTGTCCACTGTTGTCCACCTGGCAACGCTGGTCATGATGTACGATAATCGATAGTGGTCCGAGAGATCTTTGTTCACCAGAGACATGACCCCCTAGAAAATTATCCTCGAAACGTGACGGTAGCTTCCCAAGTGCCAACATGTCTGACAGGTTGTGGCCGTGAGCAGCTTTATGAGGCCTCCCACCTAGCACGTTGATGACTTGACCAATTTGATTTGACCTGAAGTGGAGCTGGGGCCAAGCGGTAAGCCAGCATAAGGATGCATAAGGAATATCAAACACATACATATTCAAATTATTCAAAAAGAGGATCGGTGGAGACCACGGGCGGATGGAGATAGCTTCTAAGATTCCTTCCTTCCTTGTTCGCTCAACAATGTTCAATGATATTTTGAATGCTTGATGTTGTATGTTTACAGTTCACATGTTTGTTCTCGTCGTTTGCTTGCTTCGTTTCATTTTGTTTTGTTTTGCTTGGTTGATCTTGGTTGTGTTGTTGTTTGCCTGCCCGCATCTGCCCGCCGATGCGCCGGCCCGTCTCTGCCCCCTGACAGCTCAAAATTGAAGGCAGCGGACGATCTCATTTGATCTGCATCCCCCCCTGTGCGTCTAGGACCTGTCACGATGGACATCGATGGACTATGAAACTTGCGGTTTGTCCAACCATCGCATTGCATTTCTTCACGATGACCCCTTACTCCTGCAGTACCAGCATTGCAGTGCATTGCATTGCAGTGCATTGCATTGCAGTGCATTGCATTGCATGAACTGACACCCGACACATGCCACTTTGTCCACAGCTTTGATGTAAGGGACCGTTCCAGTCTTAGGATGACATTTCATTACTCCACTATGTTTTCCACTGCGCTGCACTGTCAGTACCATATCGACATATTACATACATGCATACAGCCGCATACAAACATATGGACATACGGGCATACATGCGCACAGGCATACATGAAGACACGACAAAACATGCAAACCTGCATACGTGCATATGAATGCGCACATTCATACACTACACACACACACAAGCCCCGAGCGCCCATCTGAGGCGCACTCAAGTGCACCATCAGCGGTGACGCGGCGTTAGTGCCCCCTGTTTCATTTGCCATCGGTTCGAGCCATTTGATTTCCACGTTGCTGTGCTGCCATTTTGCTTCCATTGGGATCACAAATTTGACATCTTTTGTTAGATATATTTGATACATTTGAGCTGGGTGACCAGCCTCCCTGCACTGGACCACGGCTCTGCTTTCCCATTGGGCTAGCATTTGCCTGCTGACCTACGTTTTTCTCCTGATTTCATTCTTGACAGTGCCCGATACTGACGGGGGATCTTATTTGACGTACTGCGCGAAACTTCAACAGCTGAGTGGCCAATCAACAGTTGCTTGGCACGACAATTTGGTGAGACCAATCTGCGGAGTGGGCTTCCGGATTCAGACTGGCCCGGTCTCACCAGTGACAGACAATTTTTATTCTTTTTGCGATTGGACGGATATTCAACTTTTGGATCAACAGACACCCAATACCCTCAGGTCACTCTGCGGACTTGGCTCCCGTTTTTATCTGTCTGGCCAGACCGGAGGGGTGCAATTGGAAATTACAGAGCAAGGCGTGGACGGCCTGACTGCCTGTTCCGACATCTTTTTTTCCTGGGCAATTTTGGATCAACGGATACCCATTACCCTTCGGTCACACTGCGGACTTGGCTCCCGTTTTTATCTGACTGGCCAGACCGGAGGGGTGCAATTGGATACAACAGTGCAAGGCGTGGACGGCCTGACTGACTGTTCCGATATCATTTTTTCCTGGGAATTTTTGGATCAACAGCTACCCATTACCCTCCGGTCACACTGCGGACTTGGCTCCCGATTGTATCTGACTGGCCAGACCGGAGGGGTGCCATTGGCTACAATAGTACAAGGCGAGGAAGGCCTGCTTGACTGTCCAGATATCACGCTCCTCAGTGCCAACACTTCAATACAAGGTCTGGATCCTTGCAGGCTTGCGGGTGACATTCAATTTTTTTTTTCAGAGGGAGTGAGCTTCCCGAACTGCTTCTCACTGGCCCTTCAGAGATCACCAGTTTTGATAGCAGAAAGGAGACAAACAACCCTTCTTGCCGACAAAACGGTGGACTACCTGCTGGCCCCCATCAGATTTTTTTGTGCTGGCGTTTGTACATTCATTCAGATTTTGGGAGTGGGCTTCCCAGAGAATTTTTCACTGGCCCTTGCAGAAGAAAGATTGATCAGTTCCGTCATAGATCTTGCAGACATTGCCAACCTTTGTTTTAATTTTGGGGTGGGCTCCCTTTCACTATTTCTGGCCCTGAATCTACACATATCTTGCACTGGAGTTTGCGTGAACATTATATTTCACCTGGGAGTGGGCTTCCCTACAACATCACTGGCCCTTGCAGAGCAATACCACCACGCTATTCAAGTACGACAAGGGGTGGGCTCCCTGACACCTTTTCTGGCCCAACAGTGCAAATTTTTCAATTTGGTTGCCTGGATATTTACAATCATTGCTACGCTCCTGCTGGCTTGGACCCTTGAGCTGTGGCAACAACACATTTACTCCATCCATTCATTTTTTTGGCATTGGCACAGAACTCGAACAAACCTGGACAGGGGGGGGACTTGCACTGACCGACGTAGTGCAAAGCTGCTGAGGTGGACAAGAGCGCGTGAGCAAAAACGCTATTGGCGCTGGCCTGGTCCCAAATCCAGGCGCCTTTTCCTGATACCTATTTTTGGCTGGTTTGCATTGCTCCTTTTTTGGGGCATGACTGACAATCTGTCAGGGATTGGCCGGGGCGAGGGTTGCATCTCTTCCATGGGGGATGCTGAAACGTCAAACAGATGGAACCTCCTGATGAACACCATACCAGACGTGAAGCCACATGGACCGCGGCCACCATTGTGCGGTACCGCACCAGATGCGCTGTGCCCTAAAAAAGCCTCACCAGTAGTAAAACGCAGCCTTCACAGAGCCCAAAAGCGGGCGTTCAGCCACGGCATGACATGGTATAAGGGACGTTGCCTGACACCAAATGATTTCATCAAGATGGGAATGGCGCCACTCTCGCATGCAGGAACTGTTGGAAAGCCAAAAGATATTAGGACATGTCACAGCTCCAACAAACCCAAGAGACGTCTAACCTGCTTTCATTGGAACGGAGGTGGCCTTGCCTCCCACACCTTAGATGAGATCAAAAATTGGCTCAGTTTGCAACAGATTGACATTGCTGTCTTGACGGAAACCCGATGGTCATTCCAATCCAGTTGGAGCGACCATACCTGGCACCATGTACATAGCGCTGACACAGAACACCGTGGCTCTGGAGTGCTGATCTTGATCTCAAAATCCCTGTGCTCCGACCGTGACATCAGATGGAACGAGATCATTCCAGGACGCATTCTCCACATCAGACTCATGCATGGGTTGCGCAACATTGACATCCTAGGCTGCTACCAGCATGTGTTCCGCAAAGACCCTGATCAATTGAAGCGACGTGAACAGTTTTGGAGCAAGTTGGAAAAACAACTCAGCCTGTTGCCATCACGCAACACGGTGGCTGTTTTAGGAGACTTTAACTGCAGTTTGCAAGCATCAGGCGGTATCTGCGGCACCGGCCAATACCAATGGAACCAAAGCCTGCAATCTGGAGCTTGCCATTCAGACAGCAACAGATTCATGCAGGTCTTGAGGGCAGGAGGACTTGTCGCTCTAAATACATGGGATCACAAACTAGGCCCTACGTATATTCACCAGCATAGCTCCAGCCGGATTGACTATGCCTGCACCCGTAGCCAGTTTGCTGATGGCCAAGCCAAAGATGTTCACTACCTGTGGACCGCCCCGTTTCTTTCACCTGGACACCAGGGACATGTCCCCATTGTTTGCACATTGGCTCGATATTGGATCCCGCCACAACACTCCAGATTTGGCCTGACCCCAAACCAGAAGGAACGAGGACGCCTAGCCAAGCTTGCTGCTGGCCCAGACTGGCATACCTTCCTGACTGCCACTGCAGAGCCGGTTTGGCACCAGTTTCAAAGCGTGCTGACCTCAGGTTTTTCTGAACTGCATGCCATTCATGAGACTGCCATTGAACATTTTGCACAAGCTTTTCCTGCCATTAGCACTGTAACCAAACCTGAACCGTGGCAAAACAATCCATATGTTTTGAACAAATGGCAACACAGACGGTTAGCCACCACCCTCACAACACATGGTTTGCACAGTTTCTTCAGAGGATGGTTTCACATTGCGCCTTTTCAGTGCCTTAAACGGGCTCATCGAAGGCATGCTGCACTGCTCAGAAGACAGAAATTTGAGGAGATTTTGCAACTTGCCAACACTGCTGCCATGCAACATGACACCAGAAAGCTGTTTGATATCATCCACAGGTTTTCCCCCAAGGTACCGAGAAGAAAAATGCAGTTGAGAAATGAATTGGGAACCTTGATGACAATTTCAGAAGAACGTAGTGAGCTGACCAGGTTTGTTGAAAAAACCTGGGCTGGCACACCCATGCCGGCAACTGTCAGTGCTGCTCCACCAGGAGTACCCTTCACACTGAGTGCCCTGACCGCGGCGATTCGACGCATCCCCACTGGGAAAGCAGTAGCCCCCAATTGTGCCCCAGGGATCATTTGGAACTCACTTGCACCAATCATCTCACCCATCCTGTTTGACATTCTTACTAAATGGTGGGGAACATGCCAACCTTGGATACCTTCCCAGTGGCGTTCAGGATGGCTCCAGCTTATTCCCAAACCGAATCAGCCACCCACTCGACCTGAACAATTGAGGCCGTTGGCCCTGCAATGCCCACTAGGTAAGGCGGTGTTTGGATTGCTCATTCAGGTTGCTGCTGAGCAGGTCGATGTTGAATTTCGAAAGTGGCCTATTTGGGCTTTTTTGGGCCGCAGGTCCACGCAGGAACCGCTCGCCAAAGTTGCTGCACACTGCAGAGCGGTGCGCCACCTACTACAAGCCCAAAAATCCACCCCGCATTCTAGAGCTGCCCATGAACCCAAATACTCTTGCTGCGGTGGCCTGCAAGTCTTTCTAGATCTTGAAAGGGCTTTCGATTGTGTAAACAGGACCAAATTATTTTCCCGTTTATCCCAGCTCAACATTTCCCCTGAAATAATCCAACTACTAAGAAACTGGCATGTTGACACCTATTACCATGTCACGCATGGGGGCGAGAGCGTTGCAATTTCAGTGAACACTGGCCTAAGACAGGGCTGTAAAGGCGCCCCGTTCTTATGGAACTGCCTGACCATCCTTCTGTTGCATGAACTTCAGGGCAAAGTTACAGCATGTTGGATCCGTGAACACCTGACAGCCTATGCTGACGACCTACACATAGGAGGCACTTTCCAAAGCTGCATGGAACTTCAAACCTTGATTGAAAGCATTGGGGTACTTTTTTCCTTGCTTGAAGAATTTGACCTGAAGCTCAATCCACAGAAGTCTGTTGCAATCCTTGCCATGACGGGCTCCATGAGCCGCAAGACACGTGCAAAGCACATCCTGTGTGACAAACGCGGTGAGCTGCTCAGAATCCCGGTAGATGACAAGGTGACCCTGGTGCCCATCAAAAAGACCACAGTCTATCTGGGCTGCATCATGGGCTATCAACACTTTGAGAACCTTACCACCTGGCATCGAGTTAGGCTTGCACAGATTGGATTTGCCAGAATGCGCAAGTGGCTCTGCAACCGTTTTTTCTCCAGACAGCGCCGGCTCAGATTGTGGCAAACATGTATCATGCCTGTCATGACTTATGGAGTTTTTGCTGTTGGCATCACCCCCAAGGGATGTAAACATATGCTTGTACAACTTGGCAAAATGCTACGTTCCATCGCAGGAGATCATGCTTTCCATACAGGTAACACAAATGCACAGGTTTTTCATTCATCTGCACTTCCAAACCCGGCCGACCTTTTGATTGCTGCCGTTGACACTTTGCAGCGGTCCATCACCCAGAGAATTCCAACGCTGCAAGAGGATGATTGTGCCAAATTGTTGAATTGGGACCTCCTTCCCACCTATGCACCCATGATTTTAATGGCCCAGGCAGATCACGCAAACCGTTGTGCTGAGACTGCACTCTCAGGCGTGGTAACAGGGGACAACAGCCTGTATCAATGTGCACTGTGCAACTTTCGCACCGATCATTTGCCAGCGTTTAGAAGCCATTGCACGACCTCACATGCCCAGAGAATGTACAGGACACATGATTTGCCGCTACATACACATGCCACAGATGGATTGCCTACATGTAAATTCTGTCATCAGTTTTTTCATTCATGGCGCAGTTTTAGACACCACATGGAGCGCGGCTGCCAGGCCATTATCCAGGGACCACCTGACTGCACTGGCACTCCATACAAGATGGCCATGTCCACAGGCACTTTGCCTACGAGACCCATGGCACAGACACCAGGCCCAGTTACCTTGACAGATGCTGACCTTGCCCTGTTGCGCAGTATGCCTTGGTGCGCCAGCGTTTTGCATTGCATTGCCACAAACACCATGCACAATTTGGAGCACGTTCGGGAGGCTTGCCAATACCTCTCATCACGCTGCTTCATTTGTGGCTTGCAGCTGCCCCGCACGCAGGACCTACACCATCATTTCAGAACAGAACACCCAGCCTACTGGGATAGAGTTCCAACCAAAGCCATGATCTTGTCGAACATCCACAGTTCGGAATCACCATGTCCACATTGCGGTGGCATTTTCAAGAAACATCAATGCCCATTCTGGACACAGATTTCAATCATGAGCTTGTACGGAGGAAGCCTGGTCCAGCCGACAGAACCAGTGGAGGCCATACCAGAGTATCGTTGTGACATTTGTTTGGAACTTCACCCAGACGCAGCTCAGCTTGCCAGACGCTTGCAAACCAAACACAAGCTAGCTGGCATGACGTTCAACGTGTCAAGAGACAGTCTAGATGCCCAGGCTGCATGCGCACACTGCGGCTCCACCCATGCCTCGATGGAGGGACTGCGGTCTCACATAACGCAGGGCAGATGCCCGTGCTTCAACCCGGCAGCAGAAGCAGAGACAACACCGGTCTCACAGGACTGGCTTGACATTTGTTTGCATGGCAAGATGCTTGAATTCTTGCAATCACCCATGACACGTTTGCATTGGACCATCAGATGCCAACAATGTCCGAAGGTGTATGCTCGTGCTGGAGACCTTGCAAACCACTTGATGAATTCTCACTCAAGATTGTGGAGGCAGGCACAAGGACTCACCTTGATCCTTGTTGACCTACTGTTTGCACGCCGTGGCTGCACCTGCAACCCCCAGATTCATCAACAGAGGCAGAATCACATTTGTGTGCCGCTGAGGCAGATCGCTATGATCTACTACAGGCTGCACCAGGAACCATTCATGCCGATCCAATTGCCAGACACTGTGCTTGAACATTTGGTACATCCATCTTTTTCAGCAGACGTCCAAGCACGCCTGCGCGGTATTTTTACCAACCGCACATTCACAGACCTTTGGACAGCCCAGGACGTGCTGCAGATCCTCAGCAATGCATGTACCATTTGTGGACAAGACCAACATCCAGGTGAACTTTGCCGGCACCTGCACGAGGCGCACGTATGTGGTCATCGTTTTGTTGACTTCTACACAGACACCCTTCTGCAAACGGTCACCATGACCTTTCAGCAGGATCACCAATGTGTGCTGTGTCAACAAGTCTTCAATTTGCCTGCCAGTTCAGACTCTCATGAGACAGCTGCACAGCGACAGAGGTTGGTTCAAGCTCATCTGAAAGGCAATTGCCCTGTTTTCCTGCAGTGTGCCCTCCTCCTTGGAACCGCGCTCAATGGAGGGGGACTTGGCTTTGACTGGATGGGACGAGACAGCGTTTGGGCAGATCCGAGAACCGTTCCAGTTCCTTGCACCGATCTTCGACAAGAGCCTCAAACTGCCGCCAAATCCAAAGCCTGCGAAACACAGAAGAACAGAAGGACAGGGCCAGCAAGTCAAGGACGATCCAGATCAGCCAGAACCAAGGCCTCACACCCACCTGATGCAGTACCTCCAAATTCTGGGGCAACTGGCATTACGCCACGAGCAAAGTTTGAGCTTGATGCAAAGCACAGACTCTTTCATCCTGTTTTTCCAGCAGGAACAGGGAGGAGCGTTACAGGGTCTCCTCCAGGAGACACAGAAATGGAATCAGCAACGCCAGACGAGCACCGGCACGACGCAGACCCCTCTGCGACAGCACCTCTGCCAATGGCTGTTGACCGATCTGCTGAACAAGGCCACGAAGGTCTCAGAAGCCCAGAAAGGGGACCAGATCTTGCAAGCTTGCCTGGAGAAGCGCCTGCTGCTGGAGGACCTGAGCTGGCCCTACCTACGTTGGGACCCTGTGCAGACGGCCCTGGTGATCGACAAGAAGAAGTCTGTCTCCATGAAGAAAATGTTGCAACACCTGGAAGAGCTGATCCAGGATTTCAGGGACCCAACGCTTGTGCTGAAATTCCAAGGTCTTCAAACGAGCTCTTCTCAATCCACAATTCCGTGGAAACTCCAACTGAATCTCAGGACGGACAGACCCTACGAACTGCTGTTGGAGCTCACCCACTCAGCCATTTGGATGCTAGTGGGATCGTCGCTGAAACCACACAATGCCAAACCGAGCAACCTGGCCAATCAGCTCCGACACCTGATGCCCAAGGGCAAAGGGGAAGGCAAAGGGAAGACTCGGAGCAAGGGCAAAGCGAAGAACACGGCATGACTGAGCACGAGGTGCAGCATCTATGCCAGCTGCTTGCAGCCAAAAAACTTGCCAACAGCAGCAACTGGTGTTTTGCCAATGCTACCATGTATTGTCTGTGCTGGACGCTGCTCAGTCTGCAGCCAACAGAGAGTGCCAACTGGGGCAAACATTTTGAGCGGTTGACCCATTTTCTCAAAGATGGTTTGGATGTTGCGATTCAGCTTGTTGATTTACCATGGTTTGCTCAACTGCTTGAATGTTGGGGACGACCGCCTGCACAGCAGGATTGCAGTGAGTTTGTTAATCACCTGCTGCAGTGGCTTTCTTCACCAGCCATCGACATGGGATGGCAACGCAGATGTGAAACAGATGCCCGCGTTTGCATTCAGGATAGCAGTGACTCATGCATGCCCTTGTTTGTACAATTTCCCAATCATTTCCTCATGATGCCAAGTTGCAAGATTGACCAGCTGATCCACCACTGGAGCCAGGTTGATGGGATGCAGGCTGCCCTTTTGCGTGCGGCCCCAATCATATGTATCCATGTGGACAGACTTCATGTAACTGAATCTGGCCTGATCGAGAAAAGCAGTTGCGCCATTGATGTGGACTCCGAAGTCCCAGTACCGTCCTTCCTTGCTGACGGCACGACCACAGAGTATCAAAACTATGTGTTGATTGCTGCAGCATCACACTTGGGCCAGGATGCATCAGGCCATTACCAGGCGATCCTCAAAGTGCAGCCCACACTCATGAGCTCAGGTTGCCCTGTTCAATGGTTGGTGACACAGGACAATGAACGACCTGCTCCTCACTGGCAGGTACCTGAATACATCCGCCAAAACCTGACAGTCCTGTGGCTCCTGCGTGTGGACAATTTGAAGATTCCAACCTTGCTGCCTGCCCATACAACCATGCCTGAGACTTTGGAGGGAGGCCTCGAACAGCAGATCCTTACTCTGCTGCAACGTGAAGCCCAGCCACACATCATGGCGCCATCCAGTGCAATGCAGTGAACCGTTTTTTGATTTGCAGACCGTTTTCTTTTTCCAAGAACCCAACTGAATTTTTCCCAGAGCAAGTGCGGATGACAGCACAAATCAAGAAGCGTAACGTGAGAGGCTTAGACAGGGAACAGCCGGTGCTTCCTACCAAAGGAACCAGCAAGATGCTGAAGGCTGGCACTGACCTTTGCAGACATAAAAAGGTGTGTGAGCAAAAAACACACACACACACTTAGAAACACCCCGAAGGGAGACGATGAAGTGAGATGAAATGAGAATTCATGTTTCCTCATGCTGGGTTTTTGGCTTTGCCCAGTTGCCATACTGAGATTACTGCAGGTACACACGGTTGATCAGACCGTGCATCCCACTCCAAGGCATAGCTTCATTGCATTGGGTTTGCCAAGGAGTGCCCAATGCCCCTGCTCGTTGGTATACTAATTCAAAACGAACGATCGAAACCCATGTGCTGCACGCCTGAAGATGCACAGATGTGTCGGATTGGAACTTATATGCAACATGGACTTCTTCGCGCTAGCTACCTTGAACATGTGGTCCCAACCGAACTAATCACCAGAACATTCTCTTTGATTCAGGGTTCAGCACATACACTCACTCACAAGACACGCAAATCTACGGATTGAGGAAGAAACATGCTGGTGGCGCGTGATAGGACAATCATCAAACTTACCAGGTCACCAAGGCAATCCTGGGCACTGACCTTTCGGATCTTATACTAACATACATGCAAAGACTGCTGCGAACTGGGTTGAACATGCTCAGCTGTTATGATGTTTTTCGATACACGCGCAAGTTCGTAAATCTACGGTCGAACCACTCTCCACGATTTCGCAAGATGTCTCACGGTGCAGTGGGCTTCTTCGTGCCAGCTATCTAGAACATGTAGTCCGAACTGAACTAATCAACATAACATTCCCTTTGATTCAGGGGTCGGCACACACAACAAGCCCAGTATGGGCACATGCTTTTCCCCCCCTCTTAGGCACGCCTGTTGCTCAGACTAAGTAAATTGAAATGTCACCCCTCATGCCAATTCAGGTGAGCACCTTGTTTGCTTAATTGCAATACAAAACAATAGGTTGTTTGTGTTGGAACAGCGAAGCATTAAAGACCATCAATCATAGAAATATTCATGTGGAAAACTTACCGCCGGATGCTCAACATTCTGGCTGCCATAGCGCGTAATGGCTTGTACGGATAACCAAGTGAAACATACGATTGAATTAAAAACTCAACATCATGCTGTGCTTGCTTGTATGGGTGGCTGTGTCTTGCTGCTAGGCAGATGCGGCTGTATGCGGCAGAGAGCTTGTGTTGTGTGGAAGCTGCAGAGCCAAAAGATTGAAACTGCCAAGCATTGTTTGGTTGAATATGTTGCTCGTGGTGGTGTGTGCGGTGCTGAATGCTGGTGCTGGTGCCAGTTCCACGGTCTGCTGGTGCTTCGCCACGACATGACCCCTGCTCGTTGGTATACTAATTCAAAACGAACGATCGAAACCCATGTGCTGCACGCCTGAAGATGCACAGATGTGTCGGATTGGAACTTATATGCGACATGGACTTCTTCGCGCTAGCTACCTTGAACATGTGGTCCCAACCGAACTAATCACCAGAACATTCTCTTTGATTCAGGGTTCAGCACATACACTCACTCACAAGACACGCAAATCTACGGATTGAGGAAGAAACATGCTGGTGGCGCGTGATAGGACAATCATCAAACTTACCAGGTCACCAAGGCAATCCTGGGCACTGACCTTTCGGATCTTATACTAACATACATGCAAAGACTGCTGCGAACTGGGTTGAACATGCTCAGCTGTTATGATGTTTTTCGATACACTCGCAAGTTCGTAAATCTACGGTCGAACCACTCTCCACGATTTCGCAAGATGTCTCACGGTGCAGTGGGCTTCTTCGTGCCAGCTATCTAGAACATGTAGTCCAAACTGAACTAATCAACATAACATTCCCTTTGATTCAGGGGTCGGCACACACAACAAGCCCAGTATGGGCACATGCTTTTCCACCCCTCTTAGGCACGCCTGTTGCTCGGACTAAGTAAATTGAAATGTCACCCCTCATGCCAATTCAGGTGAGCACCTTGTTTGCTTAATTGTAATACAAAACAATAGGTTGTTTGTGTTGGAACAGCGAAGCATTAAAGACCATCAATCATAGAAATATTCATGTGGAAAACTTACCGCCGGGTGCTCAACATTCTGGCTGCCATAGCGCGTAATGGCTTGTACGGATAACCAAGTGAAACATACGATTGAATTAAAAACTCAACATCATGCTGTGCTTGCTTGTATGGGTGGCTGTGTCTTGCTGCTAGGCAGATGCGGCTGTATGCAGCAGAGAGCTTGTGTTGTGTGGAAGCTGCAGAGCCAAAAGATTGAAACTGCCAAGCATTGTTTGGTTGAATATGTTGCTCGTGGTGGTGTGTGCGGTGCTGACTGCTGGTGCTGGTGCCAGTTCCACGGTCTGCTGGTGCTTCGCCACGACATGACTGTACAATGAAAGAACGATCGGAGCGGTACTTGAGCACGAATTAGCTCAGTCTGAAGAAACAATTCAATTTTCAAGACATTCCACTAGCAACTGCTGCTTGAAAGTTAAAGGACATCATAATCTGTACAACGCACGGACGACTCGCTCGGTGTGTGTGAGCAAAGTTGCTCTGCTCAAACTTGCACGTTATCAAGCTGCTATAAACTTCTGCTGAAACCAACTGATGAAAGCAATAGGTTCTGTCTATGCTGAACTAATCATGAAACCTTTGATGGTAGTATGGTGTCAATGCTACATGATGTTTGTTGAAGGACTCAACCACGCGTATAAAATCCACAACAAAACCCAGGTCAACCTATTGTCGTAAATGGTGCGAATTTCACCTTTTTTCACCTCACGTGTGGTATGGACTCTGTATTGAACAAGCTGGTGAAAATGTGTTGTGACAAGAATTTGCAAACCTGGTTTGCCGTTTTAAAAACGAACATATTGTCGGTTGTTCACTTGGTGAAACTACGGGGCAAGAGCTGAGGTTTAATAACCTCTCATTTCCACATCGGTTTGTAAAGTCAGCCGCGGGGCATCTTCTCGCATCAGATCACTTTGCGGTGGCTCTGTTGTGTGTGTTTGTTCAAGAATCCAAATGGACTGAATGGATGCTATCGTAGCGTGGATACACCACCTTCTGTCCCTTGCCCGATGTACGATGCCATGCGTCTCGACCTCTTCCTGCTCTGTGTATGTGCCCCCGCTTGGGACGGCTTTGTGTGTTGCCCACAAGGTACCGCCAAGTACAAAAGGAACATGCGCCTTTCCGCTGAGATAGCGGTCTACTACTTTTTGAACGATGGTGCTCTCATCCATTGTTGCTGCACAGAAGAAGCCTTGAGATTGCCTGCCTGACATTGTTTCAGAACATGTTGGTAGTACCATCCCGTACAGTAAAGTTCCTAAGAAGCCAGTTTCACTGGTGGCGTGCGCCCAATGGTATTGGCAGTTGCCTGCTTGCGACATTGCTGTAGAGGTGCTGCGTGGCATGTTGCGTAGGTGTAATTGCCACACTCGGTACTTGTCATGCTGGTGGAGCGTGATGCGGGCAAGCGTAGTTTGGATAGGCATCCCAGTTGCAACAATATATTTTGACAGTGTATGAATGATGTGTTCTTGTGGTAGGTCAATCCCTGGTGGGAAAGATGTTTCAAGCAAGGTAGCAATTTCACGAACACTGCTATCTCTGTCTTGCAAAAAACGAAAGTACACTGATGGGGGGGTGAGTTCCTGAGCACGTGCTGCTGCTGAGTGCAAGCGCTGCTGAAGTGCTTTGTAATTGAACGGGTGGTAATGGTTTCTGACTGGCGGCTGCCATGGTGTAAGTACGGATGTGTTGCTGTCGATATTGCGTTGAACAGCTGCTTCAAGTGGGTCGTCGGAGTGGTCTTGTGCTGTTGTTGGTGTCATTGCTAAGTTAGATGATGTTGCCGTTGCTGTAGTAGTGGATCCGTGCCTGGGTTGTGGCGCCGTACTGGCCGGTATGGCGTTGGAAGTGGCTGTTCGTGTGGCCACTCGTAGGACTTGGGCTGATAATGTGTGTGGTGGCACCGTTGTCGGTTGTGGCGCTGGTGGCGGTGG